AATCTACAGAAATACACATTGCTAAGAAGTCTTTATTATCACCCAACAATCTACAGAAATACACATTGCTAAGAAGTCTTTATTATCACCCAACAATCTACAGAAATACACATTGCTAAGAAGTCTTTATTATTACCCAACAATCTATAGAAATACACAAAGATAAAAACTTTATAACAGGCTAATAATCTACAGAAATACACAATGTCAGTTTGTTTATTATCATCTAAATAACTGACTATCATATAAGAATACAAAGAATTATATAATTCGATAATTAACTGTTGTAATACGGGATAAGTAATAAAGCTATACATTATCTTCCTAATAGCTTTTATTTGAAAATTTTATAGTTTATAAAATGTACGAATTTCTCTCATATCGTAGTAGGGTGATATCCATTTTTATATAATTCTATACAGATTTGAAATATTATCTCAATTAATAAAAATACACACGTTACTCCACCATATTTGAAATAAAATTTTATACTCCTTTATTGAGAAAAGTCAAAATACAACATCCACACAATAATGGCTGGAGACGGCTTAAATGGGTAATGAAGAAAAACTTTAATACAAGTTTAACATGACAGCACACAATAAATCCACAGCACACATCCACACAATAAATACACATTTAATAAGAAAGTAGGGTTACAAACATAGTTTCGGATATTAATAAATATTATCACCTCTAACTAGAGCCTTCAAAGTGTTAATCAGTTAGAAATGTGCGTTCAAAATATTGTGCAAAACTTTGTAAACTCTTTTAAAGTATATTTTCACATCTAATATATAAATAATCACACCAAAATGTGGAATGTTAACATTAAAAGACACTAAACAGTTATTGCTTGAATATACAAGTATGTATTATTTATATAAGGGTTGAGATAACGACATAATAGTTCAAAGAGCTATAATTTTTATTCTTGAACATGTTACTTCGACTTATCTCACTGGGTTTGTTTGTTATTAAGCAGAAATCTATACAATGGACTATCTGTGCTCTGCCCACCACGGATATCGAAACCCGGTTTCTAGCGTTGTAAGTCTATGGACATACCGCTGTCCCACTAGGGTGGGAGAATGTCAGTGGGATGTATATAATATAAGAAATCTAGCAATTACAATTGGTAAATTATATACTGAAATTCTGATCTTAAACGGATGGCTTTTATTATTATTCATTTATTTGTTTTACATTTTCGGTCCTCTCAACAAATCTTCTAAATGAAACCAGAGTCGTTTTAGAGTTTTTCTTATTTTATTAAATCTTATTACGTCATTTACCATCTTACATATTTTACTGATCTTTGCATTATTTACTTTTGTTTATACGCCTGCTATTTCTTCACGATGTTTAAAAAAATATGACTTAGAAAAAAATTGTTAAAAGTTTGAATTCAGTTATAACGAATTGCTGTACTTGGAAACTCTAGCCCACCGATATGACTTCTTTTTAGCAGCCTAATCGTATTAAACAGAACTATAACTAGGATTTCAAAGCCTTGGTGCCGATTTTGAGGGTTTGTACTTATATCAAAGAATGTAATAGATATTAAAAATTTAAATAAGAATCAATAAGCGGATTCCTTATTTGGCGTCATACTTTAACACATTACAAAGTATCGTGATAGACCATGACTAACATTACCAAAGTTTAAATTCGGTATCTTATTGTCCTTCAACTCATTTGGATGGTCCCTTAGAAAACCGGTAGATATAATTGGATTAGAATTCTTGTGGGTCTTCAAGAATATCCTTTTCACAACTTGTTACCCAAAGAGCTTCGGATTGTCAGAAAGAAAAAAAAGGCTTATCTTTTTTACAACACATCAAAAAAAAGATATGAATCCTTAAAATTATATCGAACAATTCATTTCTTTCTTAAGATGCCTGCTCAGCAATAACGTTCTGGAGATAATGCTGTTCCACGACTATAAAGTCAAATTTTCAGAAGAAGGATCCTAAAGTTAAAAATATTATAAACTATATAATATATTATACATTGTTTAAGGCATATTCGGTGTCGATTCAAGCTTTCGAATCCAGTACTGAAGTCTTCACCAAGCAGCGTTTTCGTTAAACAACATGTAGGTAACGTCTATCAATGGATTTGATTTATTATTCCATGTTTGTTATGGTTTCAGAAACTTTATTTGAACTTCTCTCTCAGTTTTTAATAGACACGAGGTAATAAATTTTACCTATTTCCCACCAATCGTTTTCAAAAATTGAAATTGATAACAACATCTTTAATTTCTTGACACACATAGTTTTACAGTACAAAAGTACAGTACTTTTTTTGAGGCAAACTAGGATACACACCTAAAAATCACAAGTTTTAGTTATGACTTATGTCAAAGAACTACTTTACATTAGATAAGATTATGGTTTTCAACATGGCGGTGTTCATTAATTTATTTAATATTGCACATAGGGTTCTGCTTTCTTTCCATTTTCTTTTTTTTTTTCGCGGTTTTCTGAAAAATTGTTCAGTAGCTAATTTTAGAAGTGAAAAGCCCGAAATGAAATCAATGAGAAACTAAATGTCGGTTGTGTTTCCTGTGGAAAAGATCTGTATTAATATTTGTTCCTATTATTATAATGTTTAAATGCAACGATATTATCTCAGGTAAAAAAAAAGTTCTTCCTCTAACTTTTCTTATGTATATTAATAAACCAACAAGTCCGCTTTTTTATATGCATACTAACAAACCAACAAGTCCGCTTTTATATATGTATATTAATTAACCAACAAGTCCTCTTTTATATATGTATATTAATCAACCAACAAGTCCGCTTTTTTATAAGCCTCAATCCGTTTAAATATGAACAGACAGAGTATAGTTGTCAGTGATGCACCGCCAGGGGGACCAAGATAAATAAAGCGAAATCTGGACTTTAAATATGTTAAAATCAATAAACTAATTCTAAAAACAACAACAAAAAACAACAACAAACAGATGGAATTAATAGTTAAATATAAATAAAAACCGAAACAAAGAACCCCAGTTAAACATTGTAATCAGTGCCGTATAGATGTTTCATGACCACTTAGAGTTGGCGCCCTGTGCGAGCGTACCACTCACACCACTCACGATACAGGCCTGAATCATACGAAATCAGAGATAACGATAAAAGTTCTGGCAGAGTTAAAACCTTAGAACGTTGATATGAAGTATACGATATAGGCTATTCTAGCTAAGTTACTTTGGTTGAAAATTTGGCGCTAAGCTACACAAGGATTACCTGCGTTGTAGCCGTCCCTAATTTTGATTTTCACAGACTTAGAGTGAAGGCAACTAGTCAATAGCACCATTCGTCAACTCTTGGGCTACTCTTCTCTGACAAACTAGTGGAATCTTTCTCGTTAATCTCATAGCACATCCGCAACCGCAGAATGATTAGGTTAGCACATCCGCAACCGCAGAATGATTAGGTGACTCGTTAATCTCATAGCACATCCGCAGCCGCAGAATGATTAGGTGATTTTTTTTTTACCGTCATCTGTGAAGTTTACGTGAATCCAACTTCGATTAAATACATTGTGGTTTGAGGTATTCAATTCGAAATAACTTATGAATATGTAAGTGTCTTTCGTCATTATTAATGAGGAAAAATTCTAAATGTCCAATATTTTTAGCGTAAGGGGAGCGCGTGCCATTATGAATGATATGGACAGCATAGACTTGGTGGTTAAATCATTAAGTTATATTTATAATACAGCTTGGACCTATTTGAATGATTAATAGAAAGTGTACCAGTATATGGGTTCGTGTTCCTGTTAATTTTTTCATACTCTGAATCTTAATTTAATTATTAAAGGAAAAAAGCGCGGATAAAGATATTTTAACTTTGTTGACAGATGCTTTAGGGTTTTTCGTAAAAACTGTGTGGATCGGGCGTGGCCTAATGGTTAGCACGACGAGCGTTAGATCGAAGGGTCTGGGATTGGAGATGTGATGGCGCTAAATATGCTCCTCGCTTTCAGCTATGGGCGCGTTACAAAAGTGATATTAAATTGGATTATTCGGTTCAAAAAAGTCGGGAGAATATCCTTGTGCCGATAGGTGATTCTGGTTTGTTGCTTTTCTTATTATCAGTAGTTTTAAATTAGGATTGTTGTTTGTTAAAATTTTGAAAGCTATTCGAGGTCGACCTGCGCTAGCCGTCCTTAATTTTGAAGAAATAGACTAAAAGAAAGCCAGCTAGTGAAAACCACCCACCGCCAACTCTTGGGCTACTCTTTAACAACATATAGTGCGATTGACTATCACATTATAATGTCCCCACGGCTGAAAGGTCTAAATTAGGAACCCGAATTGTAACGGTCTCTATCTGACCTAATCTTTTAGCTCAGGTGCACATAAAGTGATCTTTCGGTTGTTTGTTTTAGCGCAAAATTACACATTAGACTATTAGCGTTCTGTATAATACAGGAAACTAAACCCTAGATTTTAGCGTTGTAAGTCCGTATACTTATCGCTGTGCCATTGGGGGCTTTCATTATGAAGAACCATTAGAATGCCTTAAATATGTACAAATACAAAAAAAAAGACAAATACACATATATTTATATATATATATAAGTGTTTTTTCAACAACATATTTTGTTTAAGGCTAAACATTTAAATATTTATACATATTTATGAACTGGTTTTAAGTGCACTTAATGGATAGAAATTGCATTTTTTTTAGATGTGTTAAAACTGGCAAAATATTGCTCTTTCGAATAAAAATCAAGTTTTAAATTTAAGTTATCATTTTTCGCAAGATTACATTTATTGATATTTCCTTGCTTCTTTTCACCCAGTTAAATGTGAATAACAAACAAACTGTTGTAAGTAAGATAATAAAAAATGCAGTTGAAAAGGTTGAAAACACTTTGAAAATACCTATAATAAAGTATAACCAAACTAATTAAAATAATTAATGCAAGTCAAGCATGATAAATATTTGAAAAAAAATTAAACGTACAAATTCACGCACACACACACACATCTAATTTCAATATGTTCAACTTTCATTCTTCTGACGTATGAATTGTACCCTCGTACACAGCATTACACTGTATCCAACGTAAGCGCTCTCTTGCTGGTTCAAACGACATCTGACGAGCTAAGGTGGACTCGTAAAAGGCGGTTGCTCTGGCTAGATCATCCTTAAGTCATGTAATGAGAAAAATGTATGAAACAATGTGACGAAACAATGTCTGAAACAATGTACGGAACAATGTAATAAAAGAACGTAAATAAACAAGGACATTGTAATTCTTTATGTTTAATCATTTTAATACCAGATGTCAGTTATTGTTACAACTGTTGCCTAGATACCTATTTTAAAATAGTGTTCCACAGCTTAACGAATTTTTATCGCTCAATGAATTGTTGCCCGATGAAGGCTCCGGTAAGAGGGCCGAAAGTTCGCAAATAAAAGTATGTTAACGTAGAGAAAAGTACGTATATAATTCTACATATTCATTTACCTACTTTATGAGTGTTAAACAACAATACATTGAGATTGTTTACAATTATTCAAAGAAACTAGTTACCATTACAAAAAAAAAGGAACACTTTTTATGAATTAATAAAATGATCGTTTAAAAACAAGATACAATTAAAAAGAAAGAAACGCGTCTCTTGTCAACTCTCTTTACACTACAAAACGATCGTTCGAAAAACAAGATAATCTCACTTGACATTAAGAATCAATCTTAAAAAAAACACCGTACAGTGAAATTACAAAACGAAACGCGTTTCCTGTCATATCTGTTGACATCATGAAACGATCGCTCGCAAAGGATCACTAAAATATTAACCACAAAATAAAAACACGCCATTAAAATTGAGAAATGAACTAAACGAAAGCATGCAATTATTGGTCATTCATTAAGCTATTTTAATTAAGATTTCGCATATACACAACTATACATGTATACATATATAGCACAGGCGTTCATCAAAGTAACGAATGCATATTCTAGGTGATACACGAGCTATCAATAAATAACTGACTCGGTTGTGTTTTACAACTGTAGTACGTATATTTATTTATTCGTACGTGGTTGTAGCTTCTAGCCCATGTGTAATTGAGTGTCGTGTGAGAAAATTTATTTAATCAAAGATATTCACAAGGAAAGTTATTTTGAACAGCTCAGGAAATGAAATTCCATTTATAATAATGACTTTAATTTAATCAACTAGCACCTACTTTCAGCTGCCCCCATATCAAGAAAATTGAGACTACAGCTCAACTAGAAGGGAAGGAGGTAAGTAACATTTTACTTTTTATGTCCACTTTCAGTAACACAAAAGAAATGAAGAGTTTAACTTGTTTGAGAGGTTGAATGCATTCAGGTAATATCAATGTACAGTGGCTTTTGGAAGAAAAGGAAAGCGAAGAAAAATTCCTCGTGCAACAGAAGCTCTTATAGATTACCTTTTAATATTTTCAACGACACAATTTTTTCTTTCAGATATAAAACATAATATTGTATTCGATGGAAGTTCTGAGGTCCACAGCCTTCAAGATGGTGCTAATAAACAAAATTTTAATATAAACAAAAAGATTACGACAGCCCGAACTTCCATTTTAAAATTACCGCATATATAAAAAAAATACGTTTCAGGTAACTTTTGTCTTTCATCATCCAGCCCAGCTGACGAGTTTTGGAAATAAACGAAAGGCCTCTTGGGCAGTGAGTGATTTGTGAGAGATAAAAACAGAAATTTAATTCCATTTTTACACACATATGACTTGAAATCGGAAGTGAGAAAATTAAAAGAAATATAGAAAAAAAAAATATGTGCAGTCTATGTGAATTTTACCACAAATATTAGGCCTATTGATAATTGTAGCTAAATGAATTCTATTTTAAAGTAGTATTTAACACAGTAGGAAGGTCACTTATGAGTAAAAACGAAGAAAACTTTGCTTTAAGTTTCCTGAAAAATTATAGTTTAAAGCAGAGAAGATAAACACCTGAAATTCATAAGAGGAACATTAAACTTGTATTTTATAGTGAATAACAATTTCAAGTAAGAAATATAATGACATCTTTCTGACTCACGTGTCTGACTAAACAGAGTCAGCTATTTAGTTTGTTTTTTAATTTCTGAGATACTATTACCTATAAAGATTAGAGCAACAAAGCGGGTTAGTTTCCTCAGTACAATGTTGCCCAATGAAGGTTCCGGTAAGAGGGCCGAAAGCTCGCAAACAGAAGAAAAAGTATATATTTTAACGTCCGTGTATAATTCTACATGTTAATTTACCTAAGCGGGTTAGTTGCCAGTAAGGGTCTGATGATCAACCAATATTCCGCTATGTAATAACTTCTAATTAAAGTAAGCTATGTACTTAAAACGAAACTAAAAATCAAGTTGGCCATCGCTATACTTAATTAAATATACTTTTTGTACGTATCCACTTATGAATATTAGAATGCATTGTTACATCAGTTGGATACTCTTGTTGTTAACGGTAGTTTTGGCCATAATCCCAATAATATCTGACAAGGTTCAGTCAGCTTGAAAGGTTTAGTTTGGTCCTTAATACATATTTTAGCTAACAGGGCAAAACAATCTGTATAGTAAAGGTATAATAATATATATATATATAATGTTACTGTCTGTTGTATGTCCATGTAACTACTTCGCAGGGTGTGGATGAATCTTCACCAAAATTGGCATGGAGGTTCATTGGATCCACGAGGAGATACATACAAAATTTCTGTTTTGCATTTTGCGGTTTTATGGGCGTTTTCACGTTTTTATCACTACTTCGCCCCCTGTTGATGGATCTTTACCAAATTTGGGTCCATGCGGAAATACACGAATAGTTGCAGTTTCATATTTTAATTTTGTAGTTTTATGGACGTTTTTTACAATTACTTATAAGGGAATCAACTTTTAATATCCTAAGATAACCTTTCATTAGTCATGTATTTGTATAACTTCCAGCTGGTTAGCAATAAATCAAAATAAAAAGTGATAATAATCTATATACTAACTAATTTAACCAATATAGTATACCTTAAGAAGGGACCACACACACACACACACCAGCCGTTCTAGAACAACCTCAACAGTGGGATCTTAAAAAAATATTTAATATTTCTTAATCATGTCAGTTGAGATAAAAAAAAACAAAAACAAAAAATTCAAATATGATTACTTTAACTAACGAAAAAAACCTGTACCTCGGTGTTTTTGCGTTGTGGTTTTGAATTACCTGTTCGATTTACGCAGTTATACCTTTTTAGATCGTTACACAAAGTGTATACTCGAAAAAACATGTTTAAAAAAGACACTAAAGAAACAAAGAATGTTTTTCCTAACTTTGATAAACGGATCTTCTTTATAAGTGTTTTGGATTACGATCATTAACATTTCAGTTTTAACTCACCATCGCAGCATAAATGTTGGCAATACTAAAGTGGATTACAACGATATCAGGGGAGATCTCCAGCGCCATGTTGGCAACGATCAGGGCGTCGTTTAGCAATCCCACACGGTGGAGAATATTCGCCAAACTAATCAGTGGGATGTCCTGAAAAAGAAAGGAACAATTATTCACGACACACACACACACACACACACACACACACACATATATATATATGTGTGTGTATCAGGGCGTCGTTTAGAAACCCACACGGTGGATAATATTCGCCAAACTGATCAGCGGGATATCCAAAATAAGAAAGGAACAGTTATTCACGATACATGTATATCTGTGTATCAGGGCGTTGTTTAGAAACCCACACGGTAGATAGTTTTCGCTAAACTGGACAATACAATGTTTTGAATAGAAAAAAAAACACTTATCGTTAACTTTAAATCATATTCAAACATGACTATTGCAAAAACTGGATATAAAAACCCGGGTTTGATAATCGAAACTATCTTGTTTGTTTGGAATTAAGCACAAAGCTACACAATGGGTTATCTGTGCTCTACCCACCACGGGTATCGAAATCCGGTTTATAGCGTTGCTAGTCCGCAGACATACCGCTGTGCCACTGGGGGGCCTGACAAAAGCGAGCCCGTAGCCAGTTCTGGAAGTGGGTTTTTTTTTGGTCCAAACCGGAACTCGTTTCACGCGTAACTTTAGTGCTTAGGGACGAAAAAAAAATCCGAAATCTCTAATGGTGGTTCCTTTATTATTACTACAAATAAACAATTCTAATAAGTTTCCTCTGATAAGTATGAAAATGTTATTTCCGCATGTATGCACAGTATTACAAAAGCAGTTATATAACGAGAGACTATCATCAAAGAAAGGAGAAAAACAAATGTTAATAGACGAGCGGAACTCCGGCAGAAGTAGAGAGTTTGTTGGCACCCCCGAACCCCCCTGGCTACGACTCCGGCAGAAGTGGAGAGTTTGTTGGCACCCCCGAACCCCCCTGGCTACGACTCCGACAGAAGTAGAGAGTTTGTTGGCACCCCCGAACCCCCCTGGCTACGACTCCGACAGAAGTGGAGAGTTTGTTGGCACCCCCGAACCCCCGTGGCTACAAGCTTGCAAGAGTAGCCCAAGAGTTGGTGTTGATTAACTTCCTTCCCTCCAGTGTATCATTTCATAATTAGGGGCGTTTAGCGTAGATAGTCCTTGCATAGCTTACGGCCTTACACCCTAAATCAAACAAACAAACCCTTTTACAATATTTTCGCGCTCTTTTTTACCTAATAAAATCTGAATAACAAAGACAAGCATTTTCTTTATGTTACATGTTGCTGACTAGTTGGGCTCTATTGTGATTCTACAGACACGTGAGTAAATCCTATTATAGCAAACAAAAATTATAATAATTTAGACTGTGTTCTAATTTTCAGGGTATAAGTGCTTATGTGATAATGTATTCGAATTTTTGGACAACTTAATGTTAAATTATTAAGCATCTGCTAACAATGGCTAAAAACTCGTTGTATATTTGCAACCAGAGTTACACGTCCAAAACTACTTGTTCTTCTACTGAAATATTATAGCATCACGGTTAATGTACTTTACCAGAATCCTTATGATAATCCTAATTTCATATCTTTCGTGAGCAGGGTTTTATCCTGGATCTCTTCTACGTCAGGTGAGTGCGCTCTTCTAAGTGAGCTGAAGGGCGAGCCTGTTAGAAATTGCTAGTAAGACCCTTTTTAACGACCCCGAACTACCACAGTTTCACCCTTTTAAAAACACAGTCCGTCCTCGGGACTTATCTCAGGGTTCTAGGACGACCATTAGTTGTAACAACATTTTCAAAACTCGGTTTCTAGCGTTGTAAGTCCGTAGACAAAATACAATAATAAAATCAGATTTAACAAAATGTAATAAAACGATTTTATCTTCAGTTATTTGTATAGCTTTAAAGTTCTTTAAAATTATCATTTTGATGAGAGAAGGTTTTAGCTCCTTGATGAAAATAGTTTCTTCATTCTTAGCTCCTGCTCACTTACAAGGGTTTGAAATCTTCTCTGAGAAATACGGAAACGTAAAGGAGCTATAGAGCTTTGCTCTGAAAGTTTTTCAACAAAAAAGCTAAAAAATAAAACTGGCTCAATATTTTCATATGATTTATAGATACAGGTAAAATCAAAAACTGGAACATTGTCTGAGACATCCTTCATAACCTGGTTGATCTAGTAGTAATTTAAGATCAATCTGATCGATATTGTAATAAAAAATTAAATAAGTTTATTAAATACTTATTTCAAAGTTTTGTTTTAATCATTAGGAAATATTCAATGTTTTAATAGCCCTCTAGCGATAATAAAAAATAACCCTATATTAATTCAGCTTGTAGCATTTTATGTATGCATGTCCAGCCAACTCCTCCAACAGTTCTAAAGGTAGCAGGACCAAACTTGGCTTACGGACTCAGGATGGCCCACGGGGTGTCCTTATCTATGTGATGTACCTCCTACCAAGGAAGGGGGTACCGATGGGGCTGTAACACGCCTGGAAGGTCATCCAAAAACTGATGGGATCTAGAATAGGTTATCAAGGTCGATAAATCTTAATCTAGCGACGAATTTCGTGTTCTTGCCCCCTCCCCTCAGGATTACTTGAAACTTTATTCATACCCTTGTTCAAAAACTAAGGGAACCAAACTTCCTAACGGTCTTTTAAACGTACGACCCCCTATTGGGATAGCATAGAAATAATTGGGGATAATGAAGGAGTTTGGTCGATAAATTGGAGCCTCTGTGAATCATGAGGGGACCTATAACCACGAAACGGAGAGAGAGGGTATTTTATGTTAATATAGCTAATCACTAGAGGATACAAAAAAAGTCATAGGGTGTAAAAGAAGACGTGCATTGTATCATTATTTTGTTCTTTTTTATTAAAACTGAAACAGAAATAATGGAATTAATCTTTTGACTTCTGTTTTCTTCGACGTAGAGAAACAAGATTAGACCCTTAGGATAGGATGAGCATATCTATAGCTCATTAAATACAAACGCATGATAAAATTAACTGTGTTTCTCAAAACACTGTTCTTCGTTGGTTCGCTGGATCACAATAGTGAACAATATTAAACCCTTCGCAATCGTGATTCAATAGTCAACACCTCGCAATAGTGATTAGTAGTTAATATTTCACAATAATAATCAACAGTCATGTTTCATAATAGTGATCAATAGTCAACACTTCGCAATAGTGATCAGTAGTCAATATTTCGCAATAGTTAACAATAATCAACACTTCGCAATATTGAACAATGGTCAACACTTCGCAATAGTGATCAATAGTCAACAATTCGCAATAGTGAACAGAAGACAGTATTTCACAATAATGATCAACAGTCAAGTTTCACAATAGTAATCAATAGTCAAGTTTCACAATAGTAATCAATAGTCAAGTTTCACAATAGTAATCAATAGTCAAGTTTCACAATAGTAATCAATAGTCAAGTTTCACAATAGTAATCAATAGTCAAGTTTCACAATAGTAATCAATAGTCAAGTTTCACAATAGTAATCAACAGTCAAGTTTCACAATAGTAATCAATAGTCAAGTTTCACAATAGTAATCAATAGTCAAGAATTTTAAACGAATCGGTTTATTCTCTATACTGCACAAATGCACAATGTAGTAAAATCTCGGAGATTAACGCACCTCGTTGCGTATCAGAAGATCCAAGGCTCGAGCCGAGCTATGCCGTTGAAAACATTCTGCACTTTCTGCTGTGTATTGCAATATGACTGTGGCAGTCAACCCAATTATACGGTTCAGATTAGCTATTTAGCTGGTATGCGCTTCTGACTGGTTACTTTCGCTCTTGTCAACACTTCTAAATTAGGTTTGGCTATGCCTGAGCCTCAGCGTCTCTGACCTGTCCGCTTAACCTGTGTGTCGTATAAAGTGACCTTCATTTCATACCCAGTCAAATACGAGATAATAACAATCACAAATAAATAAAATGTGGAATCAAAATAAGAGTCAAATCGTTTTGTAATGGATTCGGAGAATCAGCATCATGACAATATGATGATTCGTTGAAGTATATACAGGGCCAATACAAAACATTGCAGCGCCACCTATAATATATTTTTAAATCACAAATGTTCTCCGGCTGTACTAATTGGCAAAAATGTAGGTTGTGTAGTTTTCCGCCACCTATACGTTTATACCGAACATATTTTTGCACTAACCCTGTAGAATCATAATGTTTAATGTTTTTATTAAGAGCTTAAAGAAATTTTTTACCGTGAAATGCGGAAGCAAATATTTTATACTTATTGATCACTAATCACGATTATCTTTCTCGAATTGTAAACTTATTATTATTTTTATTACACTAGAACACTAACCACACACACACACACACACATATATACATATATATATGAGGATAGAAATATACTGGTCATAAATTAAACGAATATCAGTTATATTTGCGACTGGAATCAGTATGGTTTATAATTCACTTTATTCAGTATTAGTTTAAGCAAATTATTCTAAATATTGAATATAATACATCATGCAGATAAGAGCTTATTCGTTTCTGTGTCATTTGTTTATTGTACTTTATTCTAAAGTATTCCCCTGGTGGTTTCTTAAAAGAAAGAAATTTGTCTAACAAGCAATTAGGATCAGTATTATGGACTATGGACCCTCTTGACTTAGATTAGTACATACCTTCATTTCTCTTGGAGCGGAGTGCAAGGCCACTCGCAGACAATTCACCGACTGATTAGCCTCTCCAGTTACTCGCCAGTAGAGGGCAGCCAAGGTCGTTAAGACCCAGGAAGTAGAATTCTGAAACGGAGTAATGCCGAAACTCATCATTCTAAAATAAGAAAGAAAACATAATACAAGAAAAAAGGGGAAAATTGGAAAATCATTATATTTCAGATCATAACTTACTGATGTCTTTAACTCTCAAAAACGTAGCAGGAACAGAAAAAAAAACTATAAAGAATTCATTATTCGTATAAACATGTGATTTTACTATTGTTATCATACTTTCAGTTAAAATCAAAACTTGTAAAACTCTAACAAGAAGAGAACAAAAGATTGGTAAAGCTAAAAAGAAATCATCACGTGACGTTCTTAATCTGATCATACGGCCCTTTCAAAATTCTGGAGAGAACAGAACATTGAGAAACCTACATACGAAGTCATCACTTGTAAAAAACACGTGACTTTGCCATAATTATCATACGGCCCGTTAAAATTAACAACCGATAGTGAAAAACTCAAATTCAGCTGTAAATCTCGCTGTTGTGATATAGCTTATATAGAATTAATTCCCTACTTTTGTTGCACGGAGCGTGTGCAGTAAAATATTTTCAGGCTTGAATGATCTAGAGAAATTAATTAAAAACGGAATATCAACAACAACTTTGTTCAGTGAGTAATTCACTGTAAAATACAGGTATATGACAATTGAATTAATCTATAAGTGTCATTGTTTGTGTTGTAAGTCTCCACTCCAACTCTTACAGACATATTACAGCATTCTTTATGTTGTACGCCTCACCCCCGAACACTTATGAAAGAATTATGTATGTTGCATGTTTCACCTCGAACTCTTCAGAAATATGAAATCTTTCTTTATTTTGCATGACTCACTTTGAACTTCTCGAGAAATATTAAATAATTATTTATGTTGCATGACTCACCTCGAACTCCTCAAGAGATGTTAAAAAATTATTTATACTGCATGGCTCACCTCAAACTCTGACAGAAATATTAAAGAATTATTTATGTTGCATGACTCACTTCGAAATTCTCAAGAAATGTTAAATAATTATTTATGTTGCATGACTCACCTCGAACTCTTCAGAAATATGAAATCTTTCTTTATTTTGCATGACTCACTTTGAACTTCTCGAGAAATATTAAATAATTATCTATGTTGCATGACTCACCTCGAACTCCTCAAGAGATGTTAAAGAATTATTGATACTGCATGGCTCACCTCAAACTCTGACAGAAATATTAAAGAATTATTTATGTTGCATGCCTCACTTCGAACTTCTCAAGAAATGTTAAATAATTATTTATGTTGCATGACTCACCTCGAACTCTGACAGAAATATGACAGTAGAAACTCACCCTTGTTAGTGAAAGTGCAACACGAGTTGCCATAACATCAATATTGGTATCGAAGAAATCGCCCCCTAACGTCAAAAAGGCCTACAAAGATTGAATGTATTATATAATTAGAACCAAATGCCAGTAACTTTTAACTGTCGTAACTCAGTCCAGGTTAGCAGAGTAATCAGCTAGTAAACGTAATTACAGACAAGGGGCAGATAATTACATCAACCTTTTCTGAGGTTTCACAAAGTTTTAATACTGATAATTTTACAGTATGCAATCAACTAAGTGGTGATGGTTATGTTCTTCGTTTTTCAATTTTCGGGATTGAGTTAAACTTTAGTTAGGATCCCATTTAAACCTAATTTACCGCTCTGTTGATCTAATGAAGTGATTTAAGCATAGACCCATCTATATATATATCCATGAATTTTTAATTTGAAAATAACCTAAAGTCTTCATTTCCATATAAAATTATAAAGGTTTCACGAAAAAGAGATTTTTACTATATTGAAAAATTAAATGTTTTACTTCAGACGGTGTAGTATTATAGGTTATTTTGTAAAACTACTTGTTTTACTTCAAACGGTATAGTATTATAGATTATTTTGTAAAACTAAATGTTGTACTTCAATGGTATAGCATTATAGGTTATTTTGTAAAACTGAAATGTTTTACTTCAGATAGTATAGTATTGTAGAAGACTATTTTGTAAAACTACTTGTTTTACTTCAAACGGTATAGCATTATAGGTTATTTTGTAAAACTGAAATGTTTTACTTCAGATAGTATAGTATTGTAGAAGACTATTTTGTAAAACTACTTGTTTTACTTCAAACGGTATAGTATTATAGGTTATTTTGTAAAACTGAAATGTTTTACTTCAGATAGTATAGTATTGTAGAAGACTATTTTGTAAAACTACTTGTTTTACTTCAAACGGTATAGCATTATAGGTTATTTTGTAAAACTAAAATGTTTTGTCACAAAGTAACTTTTCAGTAAAGCACATTACTAAACTGATACAGAAGTGAATCAAAAATGTATGTTTTAATCATTTGTAACAAATGAAGTAAAATATTTATGGTTAGAAAATAAAGTCTGTAGCGGACAATTATTCAATGTAGCAAGATAAAAGCCTGAAACTACAGTTTGTTCTGTAATTATATTCGAAGACTCAAATATAGTAAAACATTATAATATAGTTAATAGTGAATTAGACACGCAAACACACTGCTATTTCGGAAACACGATTACTTATTTTCAAAACGTTTTAAAGGTTTTATATATATATTAGAACTTATACATATATATGTATTGAATGAACTATAAAGATATAAAGAGGTCTTGTAGACTATGTTATTCATACTAATCTAAAAAATATGTTAAACAAGATAAAATTTGAGGGGGATTTATTGGATAGCTAATTCTGGGGGAACCGAACCTCGGATTCTAGTGTTGGAAGTACACAATTTTACCGTTGACCCACTAGAAGACGAAACTAAATGCAATAGCCAATAGAGACGAAGCACGTATTTCAAGTGGTTGTCAAATCAGAAAAACTCCTGGTGTTATTTCACTACTAGGACCTTACAATTAATCCTTCTAAATAAATCAGCAAACAATAAATTAGAGGAAAAGAAATGAAGATCACAGAAAACTTTTATATTTAATTCACTTTGGAAATATTTAATTCTGAAAAAAAAAGAAAAAATGAGGCCACAATAGGAATCTGCCCACTTCCTACATGGAAACATAAAAGTTATCATGAAAATGTGCTGAGCAAATTGATTGAGGTGAATTAAAAAAAAAAGGAAAATAAAAGATCTCGACAGAACTTAGTGGTGAACGTGCCGGACCTAGAATGTAACGTTCTGTGGTTCGCGTCCCATTACCGCCGTGGGGGCGTTATAAAAGTGGCAGTCAAATCCTACTGTTCGATTAGAGTTTCCAAAAGTTATGTTATCGGTTGGTGGTGTTGGCTAGCTGTCTCCCCTCTAATCTGTCACTTCAAAATTAGGGTCCGCTAGCGCAAGATAGCATTCGATTAGCTTTGCTCACAATGTTGAAACGTTGACTGAAATAAAGAGGTTTTTTTATCATTATGTGGAAAGTGAAGGTCGTTTTTTTCTAACTTTCTTGTCAAAAACAAATAAATCGACAAAATATAGTAACAGTCAACACACAGTAGTGAACTGATTTTTAGCTGATACTGTTTAGGCTGCCACCAAGTGGTTAGGCACTCTGTCAAATATTAACAAATTAACTTTAAAAATGAAGTACCAAATAGCAATTTCTAAAACATATCGCCAAAATAAAGTTGAAAAGATGAGAAATAAATAAATTTCTTTATCTATTTAATAGCTTATTAAAATCGTTATACAATTCAGTATTTTTTTTATTAAATTACAAGTATATGGAAAAGAAGTTATTTAAGCATAAATATATTTAGACATCCATAAACATACTTCTCTAAGTCCTGTTTCGGGTGTAAATTTTAAGAGATGGCGCTGTCGAACTCCCGCTAGGTGGTCTAAAGTAAGTAGACTAACGGGAAAAGAAGAATCACAATATGGCTTCAAGTTGTGTCCTATAGCATTTGTAGTGCTCACCAAATGTTGCGAAACGCTATAACATATATATACAAACAAATACGGTTTTATATTACCTACTTCTGATAACATACTTAATAAGCTTACTGTATTCAGTGTTATTTACTAATTTTACCCGCTGTTTTCGACAACAGAACGTTCTAGCAACTTCCACAGGTGATGTTTAATTCATTGAAGAAAAAAACTATCAAATAGCAATTAATTAATTCATTAAAATGAAAATAGAATGACTTAAATGTTGACCAATTATTTCCTCTTCTTAATAATGATTTTCGTAATCTTTGTGTCTGTCTTGTTTTGGTACGATGTGAAGAACACAGCTATGTAACCGTGTTACTAAAATACGGAAAAGAATTACATTTTTATTAACTGAAATAGTATCACTATCAACATTCTTACTGTATGTTCTTTGCTGAAACGGAAAGCCACGTGCTTGTAAACTGTTTCAAGTTGATTTTCTTTATTCTGGCGCATTCTGCCACACTTGCAACAGTCAGGTAAGGGTGTACTGTTGGGTCTACGAGAATGGATGGATACGGGTCATCGACGATAGAACTTTCGGAAAGAGTCATTTGTGCGCTTTTATCCTGAGGTTCCTCGTAATAGTTAGTTTTGTCTTCCATAGATGGCGAAGCTCTTGAATTTTCGCTGCCATATCCTTCTCCGTTCAGTTGTTCTGGTCTTCCGCTGACGGAGACTTTCAGGCGGACTTTATTCTGTTGCGTGCAGACAAACATGCGAGTGGAAAATAAATCAAGTTAGAAGCTTTATGATATAAATAAATAACAAATGTCAAAGAGAGATGTAATCTCATGGTCATGCTATGCTTAATATTTAATTAGATGATTTTTTCCTTATTCATGTCAATGTATAACAAATCACTGAAAATGTAGATGGCTTTAGATTTTATGATGAAAACTTATTTTAATCACATTCCATTTTCATTATTTTTTTCTGTTGGTTGTGATATCCAAGTTGAAAACTTACGTTAATATCAATATTTAAGTTATTAATAGTTAATCGACTTAGGAATATATAAAACGAGAGTCCATTGTAAGGAATATTGTAGATGACGTTTTAAACTACATTTCTTGAAATGTTTTATGTTGAATGTGATGATTTGGATGAGTGTATTACAACAGTTAGTGATCAACGTAAACTATTACATTTTACAGTGAAAGAACAACAAACAAACAACGAATTAATAGGTTATCTTGCAAGACAATTACGGTGTAACTAAAACAACAAAAAAAGTGAAAGAAAGTAACAAATTGTTTACGAGTTACTACTTTATTTCAAATAATACAGAAAAATTGCTTTTATATAGAGTCATTTTCAAAAAAAATAGCTTAAATTTTTTTAAATTATCTTGTATGGACAACGATCGATTGGTAGCGCTACCTATCAATTGAAAACAGTTTTAAAATGTAGTCATCTGATATAATGCTCATTTCTTTTTCAAACCCTTAGTGTCTCAGTGGTAAGTGTAAGAGATTATGACGCTAAAAAAATTGGGTCTCAATACCCATGGTGGGCACACCACAGAGAGCCCATTATGCAGCTTTTTTGCTTAATAACAAACAAACTCATTTATTTTATTACATTCTGTAAGTGAACTATTATATTTTATTGAAATTCAAATGGTGTATTATTATGAAATAACAAAACAATCGGGTAATTGTTACATATCATATTTTACGTTTTTCATAATCTGTAAAATTATAAAATATGATGTACTTGGTAAAAAACAAGCAAACTATAATATTATACAAATATAAATGATATGATTTATCTGTTCATGTTTTATATTATTAATACCTTTAAATTCTGCAAGTTGACCTGACCAATAGATGATGATGCGTCAAAACTGGTTACTGATTCCTCTAGCACAGACGAAGCCTCGTCAGTACCTAATATACAATGCATAAAATTGATAAAAGGTATCGTAATCTTAGGTTTTTTTTTGTTTTTTTTTTGGTTCGTAAAAAAATTATGAACATATCAGACTTTTAAGTATTTTACATGAAAATTCTGTATCAAAGAAACATTTCGGTGTTCGAGCAAAATAAGAGTATTTTTTTACATTCTTTATTGGTTATGTATGAAGGTATGGGAAATAATTACCATAATATTTCATTGGATGTGATGAGAAAATTCCGTTTTCGACCTTTTGTTGTAAGCTATGTTTTTAATATTATAATTTAGATGTTTGTTTGCTAGAGGAAACACGACAAAATATATAGAAATTTTACGAAGGTTAAAAATGTAGAAGCTCTATGTGATATGTAAAAATATGAGTACATTTAAAATACGAGAACCACTTGAGTAGTGAGTTAAGGAACGAACCAGTTCAGTGTCAGTCAGTGAGTTATAGATTTAGTTCTGTGGTTCAGTTAGTAAGCGAAACATTAAGTTAATTAGCGTGTTGTTATCGATCAATTAGCAAGGAAATTCTACCAGTAAGTTAGACGGACTTTCCATTAGTTTCGAAACTTTTGTTGAAACACTGTTTGTAAAATTAGGCCTACAAGCGAATGTAGCCTGTACCAAAACTTACTTAAGAAAAATTAATTCCTTATCGTTATGTGGACTGATCTTGGAATTATTTTTACTAAATAATTCAAAAAGAACTCGCCAAATAATAAAACACGTTAGAGCACCGTTTTCAGGAGTAGTATCATACTGGTAAAAATAAAGTCCAGTCCAAGTAACGATAACCAATTAAGTTATTTATTCAATAACGTTTGTTACAAGCCATGCTCGCTTGTAGGCCTTACTTCATAAATAACGTTTGGACAGAAATTTATAAAGTAATAACACTTACGCCTAACTTACCAATAAACTTACTTGTAGAACTTCTTTGCTAATCGACCGATAACAACAAGTTAATTATTTCACTATCTCGCTTACTATCTGCACCTAAGAATGCATATCTCACTGACTGGCACTGAACAGATTCACTTATTAACTCACTGCTTCTCGTATTTATATCCTACTCTTAATTTTACATACTACACAAAACTTCTAGAATCTTAACTTTCATGAAATTTCTAGATATTGCGTCATGCGCCTTCTAGTAAACAAACATCTGAACTAAAATATTAGAAATATAACTTACAACACTACTATTACTATTGGCCTGCATATGAATTTTCAGTGGATGATATCAAACTATTGTTCAAGTTTTTCACCATTTGCTAAAAATCCAGGATTAGATTATTTTAAAAATGATGAGATTAGGATTCTGTTGATAAAATATTTTATTTATCATCACGATAGCCTGGTTATTCGTAATGGCTACTTTGCAAAATAAAATCTTCCAGGTCACACGGAAACACCAGCAATAAATGTTGTCGTACACGGTCACATTGAAACACCAGCAAGATATGTTGCCGTACACAGAAAACGATCTAATGTTCTAGTAATTTACATAACTTCCAGTTGTCTAAAATAAACACTAACCTTGGTTGTCCCGGATGCTAGGGGAATTTCTTCCTTCTGTTTCTTGACCACGTGTTTCTTTTTTGTAGTTTTCTTCCGAAGGTTTACAGGAACTTCCGGTCATTTCGTGTGACGATACTTTGTATTCTTCCAAGTCCGAATTGACGTCTTCCACAAACAGGTTGTAGCTTGTCAGTTGATCCTCATAGCAGGACCAGCTTTGGCTCTAAACCGCAAGATATTGATATGAATGTTTTTTTTTATATATACAATATCCAGAAAACAAACAAACTATAATTAGGTTTCATTTAATTTTTGCATTTAAGAAGTTTCTATGAAAAACGTTTCAACTCTGAATCAGAATAAAAAACTTCATTTTGAACAAGAGCTGAAGTTTTGTTTTAGTTTCGATGTGGATAAAATAAATAATTTGTATCATGTCTTACTACCATTTGGTACATGCGTTTAAAGAATCGTTTTCGCTTTTCTGATACGGAGATGAAAGCTTGACACTATTTGTAGAATAAATTTGTGACCACGACGAGAACCTAATCACAAATTGGGGGATTATATTATCATAACATGTGCCACAAATAAAACTGAAAAATACTATAGAACCAACATTTAAAAAATAGTAATTTTTATATAGTCTTCTTAGCTAGTCATTGCACATAGATAATTTTGTCAGAATATATATATATATATATATAGTTTGGAATGATATATAAAATAAGTGGATATATATATGTAGAAAATATTACAAATATATTTCTTACTGGACTGTCCAATGATGGCTTCGGGCGACACATCTCATTATGCGCCTTAGAGAAAATTTCGCCTTCATTTTTCAGGATTTTAACGTTACGTCGGTGATAACATTTAACAATCTGATAAAAGCGTAAAACAGAAGTGTTGGAAGGTTCCAACTGAAGAGTCCTCCTGTAATGCTGAATCGCACCTGTTAAGTTTCCTTTCAAGGCATTCAAGTTTGCTAGCAGGAAATGAGTAATAGGCTATAAAAAAAAGAGGGCTTTGAATTTATAGCTAAAACATTTTATGCACTTTAGCCACATTGTTTTACACTTAGCTACATAAATGTACCTCTTGCATTTAATATTAAGAAGTCAAATTTTATTACACTTCAAAAAAACGCTAACATTTAGATAGATCAATTTTTCGTAGTTCATACGCGCCCTCGACAAAAATGGATTCTCTTCACATTTTAGAGAGGTAGAAAAAAATTCCTCTTAACCAATCAGGATCGAAGCTACAGGTAAACTTTCATAACTTATAAATGGATTATAAGCTATATTTTGACAAAACTGTTATTTTATGATATTCAGTTAAACATCGCTAATTAAAAAAACACCTTTCTATCTCTCGAAACATTTCTTTGTTTAAGCTTTTACACATTTTGTTATATACATACATACACACAGATATAAACACATAAACAAATGCTTATTTTATAGAACTAGCAGCAACACCGCCCAACAGGCGGCTGTTTGTGCTAATTAAGTTTCTTTGTTTGTTTGTAATTAAGCAGAAAGCTACACAATGAGCTATCTGTGCTCTGCCCACCACGGGTATCGAAACCCGGTTTCTACCATTGTAAGTCTGCAGACTCGGGGGGGGGTGCTAATTAAGAAGGAAATAAGTAACATTTCCTGATTAAGGAAATAATGTTATAAAATATGGTCCTTTTTTTCTTTTTAATTTTAGCGAGGGTCTATTTTATAACATTTTTCATTTTGATGTGATATAAAACTGTTTATTCACTTACTTCTTATAAACGTGGACACATACACTAAATATACTTTCTTATAAGAGAACCAATTGTAATGAAACTTTGTTAGGAACTTTCCCTTGTGATTTTAAAAAAATCGTGCTAAGTTTCATCCAACTCGGACTTAACTGTGGGAGGAGTTTTGCGGACAGACGGGCATTAGCCTATTATATATATATAATCGTAAATTCAAATTACTTATACCTCTGTTTTACTGATGCTAAGGGCTTGATATGCAGTTGTTACAGCGTCTTCCAACTGATTTGCCTTAAATAGAAGCGTTGCCAGATTCACCAGGACAACGTCGCTGAAATGTTCTGGAACGGTGTGTAATGCTCTTCTGAGGCACTCTACGGAGTTTGGGACGTCACCTAGAGCTCTCCAGTACAAGCTGCCCAGGTTATACAGCAGCCAAGAAGGGCCAATTTCCTTAAAAAAGTTACAGTGGGAATTTTTAAAATGAAAACCTCTAATAAAAATGGACGTCGTGAGAATACATATAGTGTCATTTACTTTTAATAAAAAACACTTTTAAAATATTAATCTACTTCAAAACTTACACTAATTTTACAGATGGTTACACGCACATCATCAGAATTAATACACTGTCGTGTTCCTGCATATGTGAGCTAGGCAACATGTTTACACCTCTATTTTTGATTTGTGGCAAATTCCTGACACTTCGTCGATTCATGGTCGCCAGGGTAAAGATATGGCTGTAGGACACTGTCACAGCCCTTCTGAAAAAGGATATTCATAAAACGAGATCGTTAAACGATGTATAACCAGAGGATACACTATTTCGAAGAAGGGAGTCTTCAGTGTTCTCCACCGAAATGGAGAAAACACGCACAACAGGGGTTTAGGACAGTAATAGGCTCTAAAACAACACTTTAAGAAAAATTCTGAGCAATATTTCATCTGGGTACTGAAAGCCATGATTAAAAAAGAGAGCCTTCTGACTCACCCCCCCCCAAAAAAACCCAAATAACAACAACAAACAAAACAAAGCCTTTATGATGAGATTGATCATATCTCTTGATATCGTTAACAAGATAATAAATAAGAACTTAGAGTTTACAAAGGCTTACAAGTCAAAAGTTCACAAACTTCCAGTCACGTCTTGAAACCAGCAGCTGCTTTTATGAGAAAGATGACAGAAAAATGACAGAAAGATGACCTTTGTTTTGTTTAAAAGTGGTCTTGGAAGCCACAGTTCACATATAGTGAAGGGTCTGAGTTAACGTTTACCAAGATCTGCGATCCAAGATTGACTTCGCCGCCCTTCGAATTACTCTAACCGTGTGCAGGATCAAGGTAACATCGCGAATAGACATGTATCAATGCGCCCTCGGGTGAGTTGGTAATAAGCAACTTTATTCGCAAATGAATAATGTATTAGCCGGTGCATAATATTATAGCGAATGTCGAAATGTAATTAGTTTATCACATTCAACATTTATAATAACATTTGGTCTATAGTCAATAATAAACATGTATTTCCAAGATGTGTTTGTCTGATTCAGTATCACTAGAGGTATATGTGACTCATTCAACATGTTCAAGTTAACGATCTTGTTTGTTGGTTGGTTATTTCGTTAAGTACAAAGCTACACAATGGGCTATTTGTATTGTGTTCACCACGAATATTGAAACCTGATTTCAACATTTATAATAACATTTGGTCTATAGTCAATAATAAACGAGTATTTCCAAGATGTGTTTGTCTGATTCAGTATCACTAGAGGTATATGTGACTCATTCAACATGTTCAAGTTAACGAGCTTGTTTGTTGGTTGGTTATTTTGTTAAGTACAAAGCTTCACAATGGGCTATCTGTATTGTGTTCACCACAAATATTGAAACCTGATTTCTAGCGACATAAGCTTACAAACTTACCGCGGAGCAATTTAAAACTTGACAGACTAAGGTTGAAACTGAAATTAAAACTAAGACTATTATGAACAAAACTTTAAAAAGTATAAAGGGTAGTTTTGAGTTTATGGCTATAAAAATGAAAACAAAATAATTGAACTTCAAGAGGAAATCTTCCTGCAAACTGCAGGAAGACAGAACTATTGTGACAACATAAGTAAGTGAACTAAAGGAAGGAAGTTCGTACAAAGGAAATGTAATCACATGGAACAACTTGAACGCAATTTTAATACACGGATATTAGAAATTCCTCAACGAAAACACGAATACTTAAGGCGGAAATTAAGGAAATAGTTGATCGACTGGAATTACCAAATTTTATAAATGTTTTAAAAGAAACTTAAACAAAATATAGTGCTTATAAAAACTAGACACGTGCACAAAGGTCGTGTATGTGTGTGTTTATAGCAAAGTCACATCGGGTTATCTGCTGTGTCCACTGAGGGGAATCGAACCCCTGATTTTAGGGTTGTAAGTCCTTAGACTTACCGCTGTCCCAATGGGGGACTAGAGAAAGAGATAATAATGGTGGAACAGATAACATAAATTATTATTATTTTCGTTGTTCATAAGATATTTTAGGACCAATGCTGTAAATAATTATAAACTGCACTACAAGAATTTTAATTGTTTTTTGTTGTTGTTGTTTTTTTGCAAAATGTGAAGACCAATGTAATTTATTTATAAATATTTTCTTATGTATATCATGTTTTTCTCCAATTAGTAATAACAAAAGAAAACTGATTAACGCACGCTTTAAAATAGAGAAATAGAACAATTAACTAAAACTAAGAATTATAGGATGGCCCGGCATGGCCAGGTGGTTAGGGCGCTCGACTCGGGTTCGAATCCCCGTCACACCAAACATGCCAACCTCCGCCTTTGCCTGGTCCCAAGTCCAGGATGAGAAAGGAGGAGGGTTGGGCGCGGGGCTAGCAACTCCACCCCGTAAAAAACAACCTGCTACAAGTAACTGCAACAACACCTTCCGTTGGCGAGGTGTTGTTGCGGCCCGAATGCTCCACTGGGAGTTTACAGGAATAAAAAAAAGCGCGTATTTTAGTGCAAAGTCATATTATAAATAATTATTTTGTTAGTAATAAATATATTTTACAATAATACTTCCAATATAACTATAACGCCTCTACGTATTATATAGCCCCCCAGTAGCACAGCACAAAGCTACACAATGGGTTATCTGTACTCTGCCCACCACGGATATCGAAACCTGATTTCTAGCGTTGTAAGTCCGCAGACATACCGCTGTGCCACTGGGGAGTAACTTTGTAAGATGATATATGTTTGGATAAAATCAACCATAGTGCTTAGCGATTGTTTACTATTTATATACAGGATGATTATAAAGGAAGTTTCGGGCTGGCATGGCCAGGTGGTTAGGGCGCTCGACTCGCACTCTGAGGGTCGCGGGTTCGAATCCCCGTCTCATCAAATATTCTCGCCTTTTCAGCCGTGGGGGCGTTATAACTATTCGTTGGTAGAAGAGTAGCCAAAGAGTATGCGGTGGGTGGTGATGACTAGCTGCCTTCCCTCTAGTCTTAAACTGCTAAATTATGGACGGCTAGCGCAAATAGCACTAATGTAACTTTGTGCGAAATTCAAACCAAAGTGAAGGAAGTTTCACAATCCATAGCATCGTATCTCATAAATGATATGATATAGGAAGGTC